GTTCATCTTGCTCCGCCTTCCCTTCCAGTCAAGCATCTTCAAAAGCAGTTTTTGAGCCCATTTGTCAGCCCAGTCACCATGCTCAGAGCATCAGCTTTGCAGAGGCAGAGCCCCACAACCCTCAGGCGATGCCTCAAACTCGGCACCTCTGAAAAGCCAAGCCCCAGGTCAGCACACAAGTTCTCCGGACTTTCTGGAAATAGGAAATTCAGTCGTCACTGATTTTATATAGAAAGAGCAATTCTACAATCAGTAAAAAAAAACCAACCCCAAATTCCCTACCTGGGAGTCCCCCTCCTAAGTGCTTTCACTAACACACGTCACTGCCTTACGCATCCAGACGAGTGACGGGCATGGGCAAACCCACTGAGAGAAGGCTGGGCTGCCTTTTGAAGTGTTTATGGGATCCTGAAGAGACCAAAGCACTCTCAGCATCAGTTTTGGCCAAGAATTAACAGCCCAAATAGCAAGCAGAAGGGGGCAAGTCCAAGTACCACAACCCAAATACATCTATTTGTGAGCCCACTTGCCCATACAGAGAAGGAAGGGGGCAAAGTTGTTCTGGGGGTCCTCTTCTTGCCTCCTCCGGTGTGACTTGCACGAGGCCTGGCTACGATGACTGGCACTGCATTTGATCTCAGCTTCTGCACATTAGCTCCTTGGGGGATCAACGCAAAAGCAAGCATTACAGAAATGCTCCCCTGGGACACCGGGGTCGAGCCCTGGCTCTGGGCAGAGCAAGTTGGTGCACACAAGCCCCTGGAACAGAAGAGTGAGCCCAGGTGGCCCAGGACTGCAGAACTGTGAGCCCTCAGCTACATTCCTGAACTCGCTGCCTCTCTCGCCTTCAGGCAGCATCTCTCTGACATGAGCAACCAGATCAGGTGTCCCAGGACCTTTCTGAAAGCCAAAAATGAATTAGAAAACATTGAATTGTCAAAACCTGCACCTGAGACACGGGCCCTTTCTACAGGCAGAGCATGGCTCTAGGCTTTCAGTTCCCTGCAGTGTCCTCTGCACTGGTAATACCACCACCACACACCGGGAAGAAAAGACCATCCTCTGTTGCCATCATTGCTGCAGCCCACATAGCCTGATTGCTGATGTACATAAAACCACCAAAATTTAGGCTCGTGAGCATGTATGACACCCACACGGGCTGTTCAGCTTGGACTCTTACATCTGTATCAGATGACGAAGCACATGTACTAACGGGGTGGGTCTTCCAGATATCTTCCAGATACTTGCCACCAGACATTTAACTGACCAGCTACGAAAATCCCAAGGGATTCTGACTTAAAGCTTTTGAAACCTCTTTTCTTCCCAGTTGCCCAAACATGGTCATAATGTTACAGTCTCACCTTCCAAGTGGAACAAGCCAGCAAAAGCCTTGCTGCACAGCTCATTTTCTTTGCTATCCCAAACAGATCCAAGTACTTTCTTCTACTTAAGTTGAATTAGCCATCAAAAAAGCGGGAAGAAAACCCAACTCAAGCCTAGGGAAAACTGTAACTCACACCAGCTCTGGGTGATGACCGGGAGATCCTTACAGCACTTATCTGGAGCAATAGAAGATGCTGGACTCCAAACAGTCAGGTCAAAAGTCTGAGCAAATCTTTACTGTAGCTACAAGAGAACAGTCTTGGTGCTATCTGACCTGTGCTTTCACATGAGATCAGTCAGGGCACTTGTCTGTTAAACTAAAGTAGAAGCTATTTGATGATTTAATCACTATTCATCCTACTTTGCCTCTTGCTATGATATCCTGGGAAAAAAGAATAGCATGGCTGGATTTGATACTCTAAATATTACAGGATCTGTAAGCAAATCAAAACAGAAGGATCCCTTCAGTGAAGTCACTGGGCGCAGCGTCATGTCTCCTATACTGGCAAACTCCATTTTGGGCATCAGGCCTGGAGAAAGAGTGGGCAACAGCTGAGCGTAGAGAGTGATGAAAAGCCACCTTTCCTCCCCCTCCCGCCTCTGGGAATGGCCCTTCAGTTCCCAGGGAGCTCCTCAGCTCTCCCCAGCCAGGCTCCCGCTGCATCCACTTCATGCATTTGTCCATTTGGCACGCTCTCCTCTTTGTTTACTGGCAAAACCAATCTCCTCCTTTACATGATCTTGGAGCTAATATCTCTTTTACTGATCAGGACCTCCAGCAGCCTCAACTTGGCCTTAATCTGCTTGTATTCATTGTATTCTTCAGCCATAGGAGTGCGGTCTTCTTTCTGCACGTTCCTAGTGGGAGCAAAAGCAGACCATGAGGATTTCTGTAACAGGACGTATTCCCTCAGCAGCCTCCCTCCCTTCCCCAACAAGACCTACAAAGCAGCTCCCTCTCCTCCACTCCCCATCAGGGAACAAAATCAAAACTTTTATGCTTTGAGCGGAGGGAAAAAAAAAAAAAAGAGGGGCAAACAAACTGCTCCAACAAAGCGTGGGGCACTTGCATATTGGGGCTGAACACAATGCCATGGTTCCAAAAGCAAAACCTTATTTGAAGCATGCCCTACTTCTCTGAAATGGCCAGCCTCTATACAATATTGAAAAACATTTCAGGACCCATCTGAATGTCAGCCTGCTAGCATGGCAAAATAAAATACAGCGTCTCCTGGCTTGGCACCACATCACTTACATGAACAGGCACGCTTGTGAAAAGGAAGATGATATCTGACCAGATTTCTCTTAGCTTGCATGAAACTTTTAAGTTTTCAGTGATTTTACAAGAACCTCTAAGGATGATGGCTGGTGGCAAGAAACTAACATGATAATTTAAGAGTATAAATACATTAAAACATTCTATCAGCTCATTAATGAGGAACATTTTCTGAAAACAATACACCCAGCTACACTAAAGCAGAAATACTTGAAACTAGTGTCCAAATACCTCACAGACAAGCGAGAATAGGACAGAAATCTAAACATACAGCGTTAGGAAAAAACCCAAGTATTCTATCATTGAGAAACTCTCCCATCATTCCTGTCAGCTGTGCTAAAGGCAGCTGGGTTTTCACAATCTGCACTTTCACTGCTCACTGCTTGTCCTGAGACAAAGTTTTCAAAGAGGCTGTAGTCCCTGAAGTTCTTTGGGGAGGGAGGAGTAATTAATTTTAATGGGTAACTGTAATGAACGTGGGTAAAACACCAATGATGATGATAAAGAAGAAATATGTAGTAGTGAATTCAGGTAACTTTCCGTATTTGGAGGCCTTTGTAGATGCCAAACACATTAAAAGCAGCTGAAGGGCAGAGAGAGACCTGAGAAATGATTACCTTCCATTTTGTCGGAAAAAGTTATCTTCAAAGTCTCTCAATTTTTTTCTGATTCGCTTTTTCTCTTCCCTGACTTCTTGGAGCTGCTCTAAGAGTTCAGAGCTGTTGGGTTTAAATATTAAAAGATTATACATATGTACACAATTATAACAGGAAACATACAGTAAATCTACAAATGTATGGTTGTAGATATGCCAAGCAACGGAGCTTCTCTGGCAAGCAGCTATGGCAACCTGATGTTACTTGCAACAGAAAGCTCAGCAAAAGGATCGTACATTTAATGCTGAAGCCTCTAAGGAGGTCAAGTGTGCATTTCACAATTCACCACCAACTTCTGTGAAACTTATTTGCTGAAGATGGGTCTGGTTTTCGTGACTTTGATAGGATCAAGATTCAAGGGTCATGACTTAAGGCTACAGCCTACGTGCATTTGCATCAGACCTAGGTGCTTGAAACTAGCAAAGCTCGTTCGACTTGACCTCTCCAAAACCTGAAAAACCTTGTAGGGTACAGGGTTGTTTTCATGACAAAGGCTTGCCACTGGTGAAGCGGTGCTACTATTTGGTGCTAGAATCCAAAGATGCAGAAGTCAAGTATCAGTATTGAGACAAGGCAGTTTTTTCCAAAACCCTATCATATGAGGGTCTATTGCATTTAAAAACAAAGCGCAAAAACTTCTGACTCAGATCATAAATGAAAAAGAACAAAACAAAACCCAAAACCTAGACACTTTCCTGACAAATAAAATCCTATCTTAGCAAGAAATAACTTTTTGGAGTTGCCTGTGAATCCAACATACATGGATGCCTCATGGAGATTTGAAAGCCCCATATCCTGATTGCTCCTAGATGGCATCTTATCATCCACCGGGGAAACAAAGCCGTCAGCATCATCTTCTAGTTGATCCAAGAAGCTACGCACGTTGAAATCTGTTTTCATGGTAATTGTGAAATCTGGCTTCACGTTGCTGTCTTCCTCAGACCCCTCCTCTTCCTCCTACAGAGAGGGACAGAGCACCCCCGTAACAGAATAGGTTACTGCTTCCCTTCTCAGAAACGGGTACCTCCTTTCACCACATGCACTGGGGAACAGATACGAAAAGTGGATAGGCAGAGCAAGCACTTTCATTGCTAAGCAATACAGGACACCAGAAGACCACCAGTAAGACACCCTGTACCCAACCCAAAGCATGTCAGGGAAACTGCAACCACCAACTCAGACTGGTTAATGAGACCCATGGCAACAAAACAGAGTGAAAAAATACCTTGGCTTCTTAGCAACCTGTTGCTTTGTTTAATTTACATATGTGGATGTAAATAAAAATACTTACAGCTATTATGCACACCCCTGTCAGCATCGATTGCCAGTTTAAATGTGAAATATTCTCTCAATAGATGCAGCTCAACAGCTCTCTCTAATGGCTGAATCCAAGGCCTCAATGCTTGTACAGTGATACCAATGAGCTCAGATCAGTCTTTCAGTGGCCCAAATATGGGATATGATTGACTGTATAAGGACTGCTGTCGCTAACATCAGCTCTGTAACGTTTAGCTGGAATACACTAAAAACTGGAGCGTAAACACTCTGCCGAGTGCAATTTCCCCAATGAATCGACGAATTGGCTGTGCTCAATTTTTTTGCAAAATTTATAGGCACAAGATTTGGAAGTCTCTGCTGCACTCAGTACTTCCTAATTCATAGCATTCTCAAGTGTAGGGCTTGTCCTGCGACACTGTCCAGAAATCATTTGGATTTCCAGGGAACAGGGCTCTGTTTTCTCTGACTTACAGAGACATTTCTAGAAGGCAGTTTTCAACCTTAACACAAGCAAGGAGGCATGAGCATTAGAGGAATATAATAAACGCCAGCATGGACAGTAAGTCTCTTAAATATGTATGTGTGTATATATATTTATTTTACAACCACGTAACTCTAGCCAGGAAGGATCTAAGCACATGCATATCTTTAAAAGCTTTTGAGGGCTAATATCACTGAAGTCTTCAAATGTATAAAAAAAATAAATTGTTGCACTGGGATCAAAAGAAGCCATTTTCTTTACTTTTTTCCATGTGATTCCTTGTGAATAGTTCAATTCAGATTGCTCCCCCATTTCAAGCAAAAGGGGAGAAAGTAACACTAGGACCTGGCATAGTCCCATTAAATCCTCAAAGACAGTAATTTATAAATGCATACATTTACACAAAACCAGTTTGCCCAGAGTTTTCTTTTTCTGTTAAAGCTCTAGGCCATGAAAATGCACTGCAAAGCCACAGGCTGAGAATTACAACCAAGATGGAGGCTTGAGGATAAAAAAAAAGATTAGCTGGAGAGAAGTGTTGAGTAGTAGTAGTAGTAGTAATAATAATAATAATAATAATAATAATAATAATAATAAAAGATACAGAGAGTTTGAAAACATCTCAAGAAAATCTGCGGGAACTTATGAAATTTAAAACAATATTGAGCATATGATTAGGTAAGACCATTTCTCCAGACGTTAACTTATCTGGCTTAAACAGAAGGCATAAAACAGCAGTCACGTATTGTCCTTAAACCCTGCAAGCAACTTCAGGCTGGGCCAGGAAGGGAGACCATTGCTCACTGCCTTTTAGCAGTCCCCAGGCATGCTGTCCAGCCCTGCCGGGTGACAGCAGCTAGGACTGACACGGGAGAACACCGATCCTGCTGCAGCATGGAGGAGGATTTGCTAAGTCAAGCTAAGCAGTAAAAACAGTATGCTTTATTTTAGGGGAACCTCTCTGGCACCAAAGGAGGAGATCCCGTGCCCTTTCCTGGGAGAGCAAGTTGCTTCTGGATTCCCCTTCTGGAAAGAAAGGAAAGGGACAAAATTCATAAGCTCCTGAGGACAGAAGCGAGGTGTAACCTGAATCTGTGGATCTGGCAGCAGCCTCTTCCCCACAGATGCCCATGAGCCTGTCTCACTCGCCTCACTCCAGGGCACCAGCGTGCTGCCCAAGCCAGGAGCGAGCCTCCTGCCAATGGAAGCCCATGGGAGGAAAAGAAAGTGTAGGAATTTCACTTGTTTAGACCTCAGTGCCAAAACACTACATCTGGCTGTCACAAGACCTCTTAAAGCATTTTGCTGTTTAAACAAAGGAGTGAATTAAAAGGATTCTTAATGAGAGCTCAAATGGAAATGGCCATCTAAGGCCTTCGCTTTAAATAAGTGCCACATGGGAATTTTATTTTAAACCTGCACTGGCACTTACATCTCAAACCAGAATGATCTTGACTGACTAGATCTGTTTGGTTTGCTCCTGCTTGGATCTTTAGGCAATCATGAGGCATTTCAATTTTCCAGAGTTACAAATATAAAAACTGCAGAGTATCCCGTCATCAGCACTCCCAGCAAGCAAGCTTCCCAATGATTTTTTTCAACATAGACAATATTCAAGATATTGTACCCAAATGTTTGGTGAGGCTTCACCTCAAATCACCTTTCAAGCTTTTATCCAACTCTCCCAGATGCTTCAAAAAAAAAGACTAAATCCAAAACCAAAAAACCCAACTGTCTCAGGGGCCTGTCAAGATAGGGAGTGCTCTGCCTATAGGGGACCTATGCAGGAGTTAAGTTTTGGGGCCTTCTGGCAATTTCCTCACTTTTGTTCTGAGTGCATGAGCTGCTGTGATGCTGCCCTGGCGCAGCACCAGCCATGTTGGTCATCAGATATCACCGTAATTGATAGCTGTAAGTTTTGACTCTGGGTGCAAGCACAGGTGAAAAACAGAGAACGCATTAAAAGAAAAAAACCAAACCCACCCCCCACCCACAGACCACTATTGCAGATTTGATCCGGTAGTTTTCTAGAAAATACTGAGAGCCCAGTGATGATTAGCCAGCCTCCAAACAGCCGATTAACATCTTCAGTCTGCAATCTGGTTTTAATGAGTATGTGCCTTGAAAAGTCCATTAATATACAATCTACTGTAATTGCCTAAAAATCAAATCACCTTGGATGTCTAGGTCTGCAGGATTTACTCCACTAACCAAACTCTGTCTGGATAACAGGTAAGTGACCCAAGTGTGCCAAAGCACTTTTTTCCGCTGTTACTTTGCAAGGGTAATGAAAGCAAGCCAGGGCCCAGCTCCATGCTGCATGTCCTGGTCAACCGCTGGACTTCCCTTCTTCTCAGGGAAAGAAGGCCCAATATCGTAGGAGTCTTCACCATCAAGAATTACTACCCCACAGCAGCACAAGAAAGAAACACAACAATCCTGCCACCCAAATCTGACCAAGCATTATCTAGCACAACCGAGTTGTTCTTACTTCCACCCTCACGTGACTTGGTTAGAAACACCATTCACAAAGTGGTGACAAAGAGCCCTGGATAAAATAAGCCTGTGAACAGGAGTAGGTATGGGTCTCATAAGTGCCCCGGTTGGCTCCACGTGCGAGTGTTAGTTTTGTGAGAGCTCATTCCTGCCACAGTGCTGTGTGCAAGCCACAGAGCTTTGGAGTGAGAGAAACTACCGCAAAACAAGTTAGTGTCATTAAAAAGGAAGGAGGAAAGCAAGAAAAAAGCAACGTACAAAGGTAATTGTGATTTTTTTTTTTTTAAGCAAAATAAAATATATTATGTGCAGGTGGGGGGGGGGAGAAGGATGGGAAAGAATGCAAAGCCAAGGAAATACTGTAGTCTTATCTACAACAAGGGAAGAATTTGATCAGAACTGGTGAGGCTTAAAGCAGCTACTGATTTTTCAGGAGGACACTGCAAAAAAATCAACACTGATGGAAAAAAAATATCAATCAATCATTCTCTTTCATTGGTATAAGGGGAAAATTGATGCAAACTGAGCAATTAGTTAGCAGCTGGAGGTCTTCACCTTTATCTCCTTGAAGAAGGAAGCTGTTTCGCCCTCGATAATTGGCTGCAGCAAAGGGCTTCTCCGCTTGCTGGAAGGGGAACCCTGTGACAGGTGTTAACAAGTACGTTACATTATGAACCCCTTTCTCCTCCACCACCTGCTCTCAGCTCATTCTCACCCATGCATTCACCCTCAGCTCACTGCTGGACCATCAGGAGAAATCTATTCCTTAAAGAAGAAAAACATGCTGGGCAAACCCCCTGAACCTTGGGCTGGTTTCTCTCAGGATGCTGCTTAGCAAGGAACATCACTGCCAAACACTTTTAAGGAAAAAAGCTTGGATGCTTGAATACTAGCTGGGCAGGAACTACAAAGTAAAAGCTGCAAGAAAATAATCCCCATCCCAAGGCCCAGCCACACACACAGCGTTTGGTTGGCTCACCAGAACTACAGCGTAAGTCCAGCTAGACTGTCCAGGCTTCCTCTCCAGGAGCCCCATTTCCCACTGAAGTGCCTAATGATGTAGAGATGGATTTTCAAATGCATCCTGCCTCTGTACGAGCCTCTCACTGTTCACACTAGAGGGGCTGGGGAAAGCCAGTCTTGTCTCTCCTCTGCTAGTCACTGTGCAATTTCAGTTTTGTAGCTAAACAGGACCTGAGCTCTCTTTTGAGAGCTTTCCACTGAACTGCCTACGCACAGCTACACGGTTTCTTCCTCTTGATTGCCAGCACTGTCTTCACAGCACACATTTTGGGGAGTACTTTGCATATTTGATGAGGAACAGCTTTTTGTTTTGTTTTAAATGCAGGACCACCTCCTACTATTTGCAGAAAAAAATCCCACTTCTCAGTGCGACTGCACGGAGTAATGCTGTGTCAGTCCACTCTCTTCACTGGTGGTCTACAAAAAGCAGCCAGGACATGAGTGCTGCTTGGGAAGAGCAAAAAAAGGATGATACATGACAGACAAATGGGAACCATTGTAAGACAATTTTTTTTTCCCATAGACAGGCTAAACGTATTCTGTGTGTATTTTTAAACTCAAATAATTTTTAAAAATAAGTGGCCTGCACAAGTTGTCTAAAATTAGAAAGAGTGCATTTGCTCCCTAGAGGGGTGCACTGGATTTCTTGATGGTGACAGTACCTCCTTGCCAAAGCACCACCTCAAATGAGGGAATGTCCACTATTTGCAGGATCTCTTTAATACAAATAAAGTATTAGGAGACTGTGGGCCCTCCCTCTCAGCCAAGGAGACTGGTGTCTCCCATGGGACCCATGCAAGTCTCTGTTCCTGACAATCCTGCGTAACCAAGCAGCATGGAAGATCTACAGCTCAGAGTGGATTGGTAAGGAAAAGGAAATGAGGCTGTAGCCAAACACAAGATGATGGAATAACAGCAGTAGCCCAATGGAAAGAGGAGAAACAACACAAGGTGAGATGCACCCCATGGCTCATTGGTGGGCACTGGACTCCCTTGACCAGCTTTGCCTGACTTCAGCACATGGCATGTCATTGATTCACTCATTTGCTTGGTCTTTGAGTGATAAGGGAGGCTGGGACTTGGCCTTAGTGATTGTGTTGTATGCAAAAGTGTGGCAATTCCTGCTTCCTCAGCTCGAAACCCAAGAAATAGTCCCCAAAAGAATGTTCTACTTACAATGATAGGGATGGTGTTGGCTCTGGAGAGGATCTGCTTGACCAAGCGATACCTGTCATACAACGGCTTCATCACCTGTCGTTCATTTTTGGTAACCTGAAAAGGAAAAAGAAGCAAGGGGGCTTAAAAGGAATTTCATGAGGATGACAGGTTAGCAGCATTAGCCCTGAAACTGGTAATGGAAGTGCTCGTGTACGTCATTGCATCTCCTGTCCTGGGTGCCAGATGAAGCAGCACCCAAGCTGTGGGGCATCTTGTAATGTGGCTGTATGAGACAGGTGGTTTAAATGACCAACTTAGGTATCATGTGTCCACAGCACAAACTGACCCACAGAGGCAGTCGTCTGTGCTTGTAATCACGTCTACCATTACAAGGCACAACATGAGGTTTCCCACCCTTATTCTTGTCGCTAGGACCTCAGAAGCAGTGTTTATGACCCAGGAAAAGAGAAAGGAGCTGCAATGACTGGCTACTGCAATGAAAAGAGACTTTCCCACGGTAGGTTAAACTACAGATTTCACAAAAGCTGACTTTCTGGCTTTGCTATTCCTCCTAATTTCCTGTCCCAGGCAGCAGTTCTTCATCTTTTTAACCCCCTAACCCTCCCCTCCACTCCTCCTCCCAGCAGCCTTGCTGGGGAGAAGTTACCACAGAGCTGAGAAGGGATGAAGGTGCCAGGGCTATGTGGACTACAGAAGACAGAACAGCGCTGTGACACCAACCCCAAGCCTTCCTTACATTGCTCTGTCCCTAACTCCACTCCTCCTAGCTGCATGTTGCGCTCCCTCCTCAGTTTGAGTGTTGTGAACTGAGAGTGTTCATTTCTGTTTTTCTTTCAGATCCAAGCTAAGCCAAAAATCTCAGTTGTACTGACAGTGCAGGGGAAGGGAAGACCTAACAGACAGCAGCTAGCGTGGGAAAGCAAAGGTCTGTCCAACTAAGTACTAGTTGTAAGGAAGTTGGTCTTATTTCTTCAATGTTTTGTTACAGCAGGGTTAGAAAACAAACAAACTACTCAACAGAACCAACCTGATCATCATCTTTCTTTGTATTCAGCACTGTCTCACCCACATCCTATGACTGTCCTTCCATCACATTTTTGTCTAACTTTAGATTACAAAGCTCTTATGAGGGGAAGCTTTAACTGATTCTGATGTCATGCCTATCTGCCTCAAGGCTTTTTACTGCTCTGGTAATCACCAGAGCATCTAGAACAGCTGCCATATAAAAATCAACATCAACAGGGTAACCCCTAGCAAGCTTTGTAGTTTCCTTTTCTACAATAGAAATAGGAGGAAAGGGAATACAGCTTGAGACAAGGAGGAATTTTTAAAATTAACTGTCTTATTTTTTCTGCAGTTGATTTTCCCTGGAGTAAATTTTCTGAAGCTTTTGCATCCTTCCTCCAGAGCAGGAGAGGGTATTGGTTTGGAAGAGAGCTGTAAGTATTGCCAGGAGTGGGACTGCCAGGGATGAACTCTTAAGAATCTGTAGGTAGCATCTTCCTCCTGATAACCAAACCTATTTCCTATGTTGGGGGCAGATGAATAGTGAGGAAGAAGAAAGAAGACCCTTTTATTCCTTTCTGGGTTCAATGCAAACATTCCCAAGCCTGAAAACGGGTATACGGATGGGCAGTCCAAGCTCTAGGGCCTGCATGTCCCATACCTCCGAAGCAGCCGGGCTCCGATACTCGACAGCCTCAAGCTGGCTGTTCATTGAGTAAGCAGCTTGCAGGGATTAGAGGGATGTGAGCAGCACCAAACAATTCCCTCGGACCTCTCTATATTGACTTTTGTGTTGATGTGTCTGCATTCAGCTGCACTGGCTAGCAAGTCGCCTCCAACTTTGGATGTTTCTCTGAGACCAATCAAGCGTACAGGTGGAGAAACTGGGTAGCATATATATATATATATGTATATAAAAATGTATTATTCCTAGCTTTAGTAGGTTAGCAGTTAGTAGAACAGGAGGCACAGCACTACTGTTGGCTCAGACAGTCTTTGTTACTTAGAAAAAAAAAAAATACTGAGGCTTATGCTGAGGTTGAGGACCAAACCTTCAATTAACAACATTTCAAAGTCAATAAATAGCACCATTCTGTACAGAAATATAAACATAAGCCTTGGAATGGTGAAAAAATCCTTAGGTATGTTGAAGAATGGAAAAAATAAATGACATGCTTCAGTGTCTGAATATCAGTATGGTGGAAGAGCATGGAGAATTAATTTAGGCATTACAAGTTAAGTGTATGGGGCCTGAGTCAGCCCTGCAGACTCACACCAGCACACTTAACAGAAAGCAGATTCTGAAAGAAAATGTTTAGCACATGGGCAAACTGTCTCACTAGGTAAACATAAGTAATACCAGCAAAACCCGAGTATATTTTGGGAGAGCATCAAAATGCAAGACTGTCGGAATAATGGAGCCTTTGACACAACTCTGGGGCACACTCCACGTGGCAAAAGAGCAGCAGCCGGGGAAAAGACCATTGCTTGCATTGTTAGAGCAGCTCGAGAATTTCTGCAGAGATGGACTTTTTGGCTTAACTAAAACACAGTTCAGTTCCACCTTTGCAGGTTCATCTGTCACTGGTGCAGAAAGACCCAGTTGCACAATAAATCTGAGCTCCATTGTTTTTCTTCAGTTAAATATCTTTAAGAAAAAAAAAAATACTTGGCTGAACTATCCCCATTCTCCTCAAGCTCTCAGTACTTTTCCACTGCTGCAGTGCCAGAAGCTGGGAACAGCAAAAGCTGATCAGCTGCAGTCTTCCTTGCCATGCAGTTCAGTGTTGCTAGGTATAGACTCCTTACTTAAAACCAAACAAATTAAAAAGCAGTTGTATAAATAAAGCATCAGAAAGGGTTGGGGCAAAAAAAAGGTATGCTGACAAGCTAGGCTCTGGGCTTGTTCTCTTTTAAAACAGATTTAAGTGAGTTCACTTCAACAAGATGCCACCTGTTGATTTATATCTTTGTAAAAGCAGCGAAAGCAGGCTGTGTCTCATGGAGAAGACAGGGAAGGTTAAATGGATTCCCTCGTGCTGGCCTTTTGCTATTTTACACAAGAATAAAACTGCCCCAAGAATAAAATCCTCTCATTCAACTACGCTGTTTTCAGTTGCTGGTATATGCAACTGCACAATATTAGCACTTCATGAAGGCATTTAAATAAATTAGTGAGACTTTTTTAAAAACAATGGATAATGGAGGAAATAATTCGGGAGCAAAAGGAAGAGATCAGGAATCCCATGCAGCAGCAGAATGACAGATTTATCAGCTGCACTAATCAAGTACTCCTTATAAGTAGTAATTTGCTGCTCCCAAGACACTGCTCAAGGGATTAGCACCACTCTGAAATTAAGTTACTTTATCTATACAGCTGGTAGCAAAGACTATAATGTCATCGGTGAAAGAGGAGGAGAGATTCATCCAAATCCAACTTGGTGGCCTGGAAGCCACCATGTTTCTGCCACGCCAAGGATCATCAGGACACAACACTTAATTCCCTGTCTTCACAAATAATTCTCCTTTGTTAAGATCAAATGTGCAAGAAACCTCATGCCCTTTGCTTCCACTGGCACGTGGAAAAAACCATCCATTTCTCAGGGGAAGAATGAAATCTCTTCTCAACTTATTTATGTTGTGATGCTCAGCAGACAAACTGTTTCATGAATCCTTTGGCACAAGAGGACTTTACAAACAGCAAGGTGCAGGTGCTTCCCTGCAAAGAGCAAGGTGCTGGGAGAAACACCCTCTAAGAAGGAGCAATGCATGTACACCTGTCTTCCCAGTTAGCCATTAATACCAGTAAATTGCAAAATTCCTGGCTGGATGGGGGACCACACACAACTATTCCTGTGCAGACTGTATCCCCAGCAAAGCCAGTGAGTCTGCTGGGCCACAAACTGGATGTCTGTGGATCCTGGCGAGTGTGATGCCAAAATAATGCACATTCAGCCTCATTCAGCCTGCAGGCTTGGTCCTGCAGGTATCTGTCAAGCTGCGTGCAGACATCACCTTGCTGAGAACAGACTCCTCAGTAGCAGCGGTACTAAAGGATCAGGGAGGTGGATTAGAGGATGCATGGGTGGTTTGAACAGCAAGATGTTCTAGTGACTGTGACATCAAAGGAGCATTAGGGGGATTATTTACCACAGAGAAAGACGTATAAAGATGTACTTTGAAAAAAATGCTGCTGTACATACCGGTCTGCCATGAATGCTTTCGTAATACAGCAAAGCTTTTTGCAGAGCCACTTTTTCAGCTGCTATCTGATCTCTTGTCATGTCCTATGAAAAGAGGCACAGAAAGGAGGAAGAAAAAAAAAAAGTCAGATACCCAGACTCAAACAATACTGATTTGTGGCCTAACCAAAGTCACGTCATTTTGTCATTAATGTTTGGAAGACTCATCTCTGCCTTCCAGTCCTCTTTTCCCAGCTGTATTGCCAAAGAGACTGTTAATGTGAGTGGCACCCTATGCACAACACAGGCAGATTAAAACCATATAAACTTTGCACATTAAGGTATTTTATGTACATAAGGGGGATTTATCGATTATCAGTGTGCTTTGAAAAACAATGGAATGCAACTTTTAATGATGGTGGCTCTCTTTCAGTTAAGATCCAAAGTGTAAATTCCACAACAAAACACGCGTTCTTTTTCTCCAAATCTGATGCAAGCTCCAGTACCTCTTGTAAAGCTTGCCATCTTTGCTTTGACTGCCATAAACATGCTTTACCAAGAACTGAAGTGCAGTCAGACTGTCTCCTCCTGCCAATTCTGCTATGGAGTGAAAAGCTCTGGCAAACAGCCTGAGGGGACCAAGCCAAAAAAAGGGCACAGTTGGAGAAGACTTCCCTAACTAAGTTTTGCCACAGTTCCCCCACTGAACGTGCCTGACACCAAGTCTTCTCTTCCTATCACAGCACCAAATACTATCACAGACCCTCTTTATATGGTCAGGCTGTGGATTCTTGCTACCATCAGAAAACAGCCAAACACACACTGTGTTTCTTCTTCTGCAGATCTAGTAAACAAAGATAATGCTGTCTGCCACTCTCTTACAAAGCACCGCACAATTTACATGTCAGCAGACTCAAGGACTTCACTTACAAGGCTGCCCAAACCTCAGGAATTAGCAATATCAGACACAAAGACCTCCCTGCTGATAACCCTCAGAGATTACAGCAGCTAACAGAGCTCAATGTGAAACTCTGAAGAGCAGAGATAAAATGCCCCAAGAGAAGAGCAGTCAGCTTTGGAGAGAACTAGAAGAAAACAGATGACTCAAGCTCCAGAATCACTGGAAGACTCAGAATTTGCCAAAAGTCTTTGGACATAACAACAGAGATAGCCAAATACAGGGCAGGAAATATTGCAGTACTTCAGAAGAGTTACTTGGAATATTCAAGGATCAGAAAAAGAACACACAATGACATTCAATAGAAACTGAGCTCTGGGAAAAAAGTCAGATGCTAAAGGCAGAAGGAAAGAAACTAAATCAAGTGAGCTAGGAGTAAAGGCTGTAGACTTTGTGACAAAACGTAGAAAACCACAGGGCTTTCACAAGTGATTGTGCAGCCATGAGTTACCTACTTGTACTTAAAGGCCAAAAGCTGATCTGTCTATTGTACCTTAATATCTTCAGGTCGGTTTGTCTCTGTTCGTTTTTCTTGAAGCTTCTTCTGGATAGAATCAAGGGTTGCTTCCACGGCAGGCTTGGCAGATTTATCTGACAAGTCTTGCTTCTTGTCATCATCCTTTTCGAGCTGAGAGCCGAAGCTCTTGGGGAGCGTGTTGCTCCGCTGACGCACAACAGGGCCAAGGTCTTCCTCCGATATCTTCAGTTTTGACTCTAAACGGGGACATTTGGGGGAAGAAGAATAATTTCTCTTTATTAAAATGTGACAGTGACAGGATTGCTGCCTAACATCAAATTTAAATGAGGCAGAGTCCAGCTGCCCCCAAAGGTGCACCAGTGGTGGCTGCTCACCTTTAAGTTGCTTTCGGAATTTGGCCAAATCATTTGTCCATTTGAGCACTTCAGGGTTGGCTGCTTTGTCACTGTGGGAAGGCTGGGAGGAAAGAACAGTTATGCTGAATCTGTGTTAAACCAACAGGAGAGACCCACTGAAACAAGCATGTGTCACAAGAAGAGGTACAACAGAATTTGGATGCAGCACAGAGCATGGGCACCGGCTTGACAGGCACCTGCATATCTCTGACTAGCTCATTTCAGACCTTGCTTTAATTGCTCCTGCCTGTCACAACACTGTCTCTTAGGGGCATCATGAGATTGATTTTCTTTTTAGAAAACACAAAACTTTTGACGGCAAACATTGAATTGTAAGAGTGGCTCAGAGGGCCAGATGCACATTGGAATTCTTGTGCCTACTGTTTCCTAACAAGAGGGCATCTTCAAAATAGAGAGCGCCTAACATGAACAGTTTGAGAAGTGTCAGGATGCCATGTATCCACACCAAAGGCTTCCTTACATTCAAAGACACCAAAATAACCCAAATGCTAGGCTACAGCAAACTCTGAGCATTTCTTCCAGCCTTTTCTACTGCAGGCAAGATCCTTTCAGTACAACCCTTTGTGGTTTAGATCACCAACAAAGATGCATACATGCAAAGCTGTTCCTTAAAAAGCTTTCTGTGCCTCAGAAGGGCATGTCAGGAGTAATTAGAGTACAGCACACTGCTACTGCTCAGCAGCACTTGACTGTGGTTCTTTGCTCAGGAGTAAAGGCGGCTGCTCTCTCTCCTCTGCAATGCACTGGTGTCCTGGGATTGCCATCATGCAAATGAGATGCGCAACTGTGCTTTCCATAAGCTGAACTTGAATAAGTAAACAAACAGAATTTTAACATAGCTATTCCTACACACTGAGGGTATGCTTTTGGCACAGTTTTAAACAGTGATCAAAATCCTACCCTATGAGTTTATTGGGCTATCGCCTGTGCTGTACTGATAGTACATAATGCCTGGAAAGGTAATTTGCTTGGTATGGATGCACGTTGTCTTTTTTTGGGCAGCAGCTTTTTTCTTTTCTCTTTTTTTTCCCCCCTTAGAAAAGCTTTCAAGCCCTCTGTACGATTGACAGACCTCCCTGATGTCCCTTCCCTTTGTTGCTAAGGCATACCTCCATATAAACAAACCCTAGAGACTCACTCTGTATTTCCTTTCCTCTTCGAATTTGTCCTCAAATCTTCGGATCTTTTTCTTCAGTCCCTGAATCCTCCGGGTGAGTTGTGCAGGGGTAAGGTCCTCTCTGTCATCTTCGTAAGATCCCAAAGATGAACTCCGCCTCCTAACAAGAACAGAGATGGCAGGAAGAGCTTATCCAAACAGTCAAGAGTACATCTTAATGCAGAGAAAGCCACTTAAACTTTATGTAAATAAAGGCAAATCCCACAGAAGTGAGAAAGTTACGTTAATACTCTGTAATGACAGATAGCAAAAGATGCTGTAACAGCCTCTTTCAGCAACAGCAACTCCCTAGATATTAATTCACAAACACAGAAATGATTAGTTACCAAGAACTTTTCTGAAAATATCAGTTTCCTGTCAGCA